ATAGCATGTATGGCAGGTGGGGGGTGCGCCGTGACTTTCGGCGCACAACAGCACAAGTATCGCAAGTGAAATGACTATTACTTTTTTGCAGAAATTCAAGATCAGCTGGCATAATGTTGACACATTCCAAATGGAATAGTTCACCACAATTCACGCATTGCACTTTAGATTTCCCACGATCAACCTTTAGACCACACAAGCACGGCATAATTAGAATTATATGTAATATGCAGAGTCACTGTCTCAGATTTCAATTAGCACGCACCATTGCAGGGTGTGAAAAGCAAAAAGCAAAAACGAGGAGCGCAGAGAAAACACGTCCGCACAGCACGACAAATATGTACTTGTTGCAGATGCTGTTGATGGCTGCTGATGTTGTTGATGGCTCCTTATTCTGGCTGCTTGGCTGAAAGCTTGCCTTGGTTTTGTTGTTTTTATGATGATTTTTATTAAAATTGTATTTATTTTTTTTTTTTTTTTTAATGTATGTACATATATACATAGATATGTTTATGTATTCTTTTCTTTTTAGTTTGCGATATGTACTTAGCATACAATATGTGGACTTTTTCCAACACTTTTTTTTTTAGTTTTTAGTTTTTACGGGTTTTGTGTTATTTTGTTTGTATTAGATTTTTTTACTTTCTTTTCTTTTTTGCGTATCTGTATACTTATGTATGTATAAATGTATAAGTGCCCTTTTAATACGATACTTGTTTGCACTTTAGTTTATGGTTTTTTTTTTTAGTTTTTATTGTTTTCTCCACTTTGTCAATAGTTTTTATATCAGTTTGGCGGACGTACGAGTACGGATTTTATTTTTTTTTATTATTTTTTTTTTTTTAGTTTTAAAATTTTTTTTCTTTAGGAGCTGGGCCACGGTTGGCTGCGAAGGACCATGAATAATTCCAGTGGTCGCCTTTCGCACTCTCCTTTTTTTGTATGCACACTGGTTTTCCGCTTAAAGGAAACACTTGTTTTCGGTTTTAAAATTTATAAAATTCAACTCAGTTTATTCATGAGCTTTAAAAGTTAAAAGATCTAGCGCAATATAGGTACTCGACTTTCACACAATAAAAAGTTAAGGTTTAGTGGTAGATGTCCACATACATTTTGTGGTTGTATGAATTATATACATATGTACATTTCTGCATTTGGCTTTCACAATAGAAAATTTTTAATTTTAAGGGGGCGCGTGCGCGTTGACCGATGTTAATTGCTGAACTGGCTTCTGCTGATTTCGCACGACGATGGGGAGGCTGCCGTGCGCGCTCGGTAATCATATTCTCGACGTTGACGTCGGTCAACTGCCAAACTGCTGCGGCCAAGGATTGCGCGCACGGCCGTCGTAGCGCGCTTTAAGCGGCGGCTTAAACAGCGACCTATAATGACTTTGGCATCTGCCCATAGTCATCTCGATCGATAGACCAACCGACTTTGCTTCCGCGGAACACCGGACCTATATAAACTTTTCTAAAGTTGATGGGAAGGCTTCGCGGAATTTACTGAGAGCATCTTCGCTGCGCTCCCCACACCAACCGACGTCCACCTTGGAGAACATAAGTTCCGCAGGGTTGTCACTGCTGCTGCAGCTCGCTTCGTACGTATGCATTACGGACCCCTGTCCAAATTTCCCTGCTGAAGCGGCTGTTCTAGCCGATGAGCGTGACAACCTTCGTCAGGCCGATCCCGGAAATCCCCGTATTAGGGATCTCAACGCGGAGATTCGGCAGCTTGTGAACGTACATAAGCGGAAAAAGTGGGAAGAGCATCTGAAGACGGTGCGTGATGAACGCTAAGCCACCACCATTATCTCGCTTGCGATCTCGACGCTGCACGTTGTTCCCGGCACAATTCAACAATGTTGAATTGCTGTGCAACTTCGTCTCTTGGACCGCAGCTATCAATATACCATGCCTTCTCATGAAGACGGTTATCTCCTCGATCTTGCTCTGAAGTCCGTTAAAGTTAAATTGAAGGAGCTTCATGTGGTTCGGGAGACGTGTAGTTATGCGAGGTGTGAGGAATGTGTGTACCCTTGCCGCCATTGGCTGTGTGCGCTGCTGTGAAGATTGCCGCCCTGTGGTGGTAGTGGGTGGCGTCGCAGTTGGGGTTTTCGACCGAGCAGTGCCACACGGGCCCTCGAAGATCCTCGTCCAATCTCGCGTGGTGCGCAGACCTGAAGATGACCTAAAGTGGCGCCAGCCAAGGCAGGTGTTGCACTTAACTGATGTCACGTTACAGACTATCCTGGTCTGACATACCGTGCAGATTGTACGAGGAACCAGTAGTTGTTGGCGGCCGCGTGTGGGTGGTGGGGCGATTGTGTCTTTTATGTGGTCTGTCGTGGTTGTGGCGTGGTGTATTGTGTTGTTGTGTTGTGGTGCTGTGGTGTTTGTGTTGAGTTGCTCAGGTGGACTGGGGTTAGCCGTTGAGGCTGCTCTGTGTGAGCAGCACGGGCCACAAACGATGTGGTCCACTGCCGATGGGTCCGTGGTCCTGAGCAGACTCTGAGGTGACTCCACCCGTCGAAAGCATTGCACTTGCCTGAGGTAGAGTTGTGGTGTGGTCGTGTCTGGCATACACAGCATGTGTAGGTTTCAGGCCCTGGGTTTGACTCGATGCCAGCCCTTAGCAGAAGAATGCGTAGCAAATGTAGCCCTATGGACGAACACCTTCTGAGATACTTCGCCGACCTACACGCGGTTAGATCGCCGAAACAACAGCCCTTGGTCGGGTAAAGCCCGAGTCATTCCGGTACGTAGAACCGGCTGTCGTGGGAATTTTTGATGTGTATACATCTTTGGTTTCGGTAGGGGTAAAATTTGCGAAGCTGTAGCGTATAGCCCAGCAGAAAATTTCGAAGGGCTTAGCATGTGTATTTCAGAAGAAAATTTTTAATTTAATTAGAAGCACCCTGTGTTCACTTGCTATTGTAAATGGCTGCATACATTTAGGCATATGCATAGCATTCAGCAGAAAAATTTTAATGAGGAACAATTGATTACACCGGCACACAAAAAAAAATTTTTGTTCTGTACACCGGACGCCACCTACCTACGGGCATGTTTTTCGACCCGCTGAATCCGAATTTTGAGTTAGTTTTGGCCGGTCACCCCCCAATTTCGAGTAAATTGCAAAAAATCCTAAAAAATAGCGAAAATTTGATGTTTTCGTTACAAAAAAAATTTGTGGATANCTTTCGATTATGCAACCTCCGCACATGCATACGGCTTCGTACCTATATGTATACATACTTAAGTTTGTATGTAAATACATATGTATGAACTCATTTGTTGCAACTGGTTTTGATATTCGTAGATGGTTTTAGGCATAGGTTTAGTAGTCTATTTTAATAAAAAAGCATGGCGAAAATTAACAAAAAATACTGAAATCATTTTAACTGGGACCGTTGATAAATGATGAATACACATGAATATATGTATGTATAATATACATATGTATGGATGACATAATAGCTCTGATCCAATACTTTTCGTGTAAAATCCTCTAAAAAAGGTCAAACAGTAAAATCACTCTCTGAAGTGAGAGTAAAAAGTGAACCACAGATTATANTATAGCCCAGCAGAAAATTTCGAAGGGCTTAGCATGTGTATTTCAGAAGAAAATTTTTAATTTAATTAGAAGCACCCTGTGTTCACTTGCTATTGTAAATGGCTGCATACATTTAGGCATATGCATAGCATTCAGCAGAAAAATTTTAATGAGGAACAATTGATTACACCGGCACACAAAAAAAAATTTTTGTTCTGTACACCGGACGCCACCTACCTACGGGCATGTTTTTCGACCCGCTGAATCCGAATTTTGAGTTAGTTTTGGCCGGTCACCCCCCAATTTCGAGTAAATTGCAAAAAATCCTAAAAAATAGCGAAAATTTGATGTTTTCGTTACAAAAAAAATTTGTGGATATAGGAAACGCATAATTTTTATGTATTCTGATCCGTTTAATACTAATTTCATATGTACTTAGACAATAAGCCGTTTTATATTCAAGAAAATTGTAAAAAAACCCACAAAAATTGCAAAAATTGCAATAAATCGGGATTATCTTGATAAAAAAAAANACTGAAATCATTTTAACTGGGACCGTTGATAAATGATGAATACACATGAATATATGTATGTATAATATACATATGTATGGATGACATAATAGCTCTGATCCAATACTTTTCGTGTAAAATCCTCTAAAAAAGGTCAAACAGTAAAATCACTCTCTGAAGTGAGAGTAAAAAGTGAACCACAGATTATATTCCGAAAAGAAAAACTAAATTTAGGAATATATACAAATAGAAATACTCAGACTATAAGCTCAAAAACACAACTTTTCGTGTAAAATCCTCTTAAAAAGGTCAAACAGCAAAATCACTCTCTGAAGTGAGAGTAAAAAGTGAACCACAGATTATATTCCGAAAAGAAAAACTAAATTTAGGAATATATACAAATAGAAATACTCAGACTATAAGCTCAAAAACACAACTTTTCGTGTAAAATCCTCTTAAAAAGGTCAAACAGCAAAATCACTCTCTGAAGTGAGAGTAAAAAGTGAACCACAGATTATATTCCGAAAAGAAAAACTAAATTTAGGAATATATACAAATAGAAATACTCAGACTATAAGCTCAAAAACACAACTTTTCGTGTAAAATCCTCTTAAAAAGGTCAAACAGCAAAATCACTCTCTGAAGTGAGAGTAAAAAGTGAACCACAGATTATATTCCGAAAAGAAAAACTAAATTTAGGAATATATACAAATAGAAATACTCAGACTATAAGCTCAAAAACAGTAATGGATGCGGTGTTTTCAAGATATTTTAACGCCCTTGAGTCACAAGTATATACAAGTATCATATTTTATCAATCATACCGATAATTTCATGTATTAAAATAATTAAGAATGAAAATGAATAAAAAAATTAAATCAGAAAATGAATAAAATTAAGTGAAATTAACGTTTAATTTTTAACCTAACCTACATGTGTATGTATGTAACTGAAACGCCTAGGAATAGCTTTGCACATAAATGGATTATCCACATTCTCGAGCTTAACTCNCATAGCATTCAGCAGAAAAATTTTAATGAGGAACAATTGATTACACCGGCACACAAAAAAAAATTTTTGTTCTGTACACCGGACGCCACCTACCTACGGGCATGTTTTTCGACCCGCTGAATCCGAATTTTGAGTTAGTTTTGGCCGGTCACCCCCCAATTTCGAGTAAATTGCAAAAAATCCTAAAAAATAGCGAAAATTTGATGTTTTCGTTACAAAAAAAATTTGTGGATATAGGAAACGCATAATTTTTATGTATTCTGATCCGTTTAATACTAATTTCATATGTACTTAGACAATAAGCCGTTTTATATTCAAGAAAATTGTAAAAAAACCCACAAAAATTGCAAAAATTGCAATAAATCGGGATTATCTTGATAAAAAAAAATTTGCAGGCTCGGATCGAAAGAGATTTTCATGTCATTTGATCTGCTCAATTCGAATCTACAATAAACTCGGCCCATCTTCCCTCAAACACTCAAAAAATTGCATNTTTTATCAATCATACCGATAATTTCATGTATTAAAATAATTAAGAATGAAAATGAATAAAAAAATTAAATCAGAAAATGAATAAAATTAAGTGAAATTAACGTTTAATTTTTAACCTAACCTACATGTGTATGTATGTAACTGAAACGCCTAGGAATAGCTTTGCACATAAATGGATTATCCACATTCTCGAGCTTAACTCCCTAATCTGTAATTAGAAAAAGAGATTAGCCGTACAAAATTATAATTATAAAATTATCCCAGATTAAACCGATAACTTTTTGGTGTCCAACCTAGCTTTATCGATTATACTGGCGAAAAGTAGGAGGAATGTCAAATGTAAAAGTAAACAAAAATTGACGCTAGTAAGGAAAAGAGGTTTGTAACAGTATTTTTAATAAAATATTCAGTTAAAATATATTTAAATAGCATAATATGTGTAGCAGAAACAAGTGACCACGGTGGCACAGAGAGGAAGTTTAACTTTTCGTCGAGTTGTGTGAATAAAAAGCACAACCAATCTTACAGCTAACGGCTTTGATTGAGATTATATTTATATGTAAACGTACCTTTATGCTTTGCCGTNCAAGTGACCACGGTGGCACAGAGAGGAAGTTTAACTTTTCGTCGAGTTGTGTGAATAAAAAGCACAACCAATCTTACAGCTAACGGCTTTGATTGAGATTATATTTATATGTAAACGTACCTTTATGCTTTGCCGTTCGCATATGTTTACACATCATATTTCATGAGTACCTAGTACTCACGCCTTTTTTTTTTTGTTAAGGCTGGTTTTCACTATGTCAAATTCAACGGCATGTGCCGTTAAATAAGTGAAAACACATTAGTTGCGTTCCAGATGCTTCACGATTTGCAGGTTTTTACAGGAAGTCGTTCCAGGTGACCACCTTCCATAAGGTTTATTAATGGAGAAAACAGCTGTCCTTGCAAATTGTGAATATCGTGAAGCATCTGGAACGCAACTATTGTCAATTGGAACTAAAAAAAGTTTACCCATTGATTTAGATCAGAATAGGTATTCAGTCGTGTACATGTGCTACTAAATTGGCTAACTGTCCTTTATTGGCCCTATATATAATCGTTAAAGGCATGAAAAAAGAAGATAAAGTTGTGTCAAAATATGTTGCCAAATTTGTTTGTCAAAATATGACATAGTGAAAACCAACCTTAAGTACAGGATGTTTTTTTTAGAATTATATAAATATTTAAATAAGAAGCTAAACGCGGAACAACATTAGGCGAATAAAAACAAAAAAATGTTTAAAACAGTTTCATAAAACATTAATTTTACTTTATTTACGTGGTTTCCTTTATGAGTTATTCGTTTCAGTCCATATGTATACATAAGTCTATCTTAAAACTAGTATATGTACGTAGATATTTATGTATTTATGCTGATGCGTTTCAATTGATGATAATTTGTAGCAAACGGCACTCGCACCTTAAAGGGTAAATTTGTTTATTTACAGTTTTTTGACATTATAACTAGCTACAAGAGAGTTCGAGCTAGTTGTCACTCCTACCTTATTGAATATCCCTGCCAGCATTTTATATTGCGGATCATCGCCCATGATATCGCTATTTTCTCGAATTCTTATCCGCTCTCGGGAAAAACAGTTCCACCAAGAGGTCACGTCTTTTTCATACGAAAGCGATAGGAATGATAGTAACTTGTGCGATAGAGACTGAAGAGTTAAAGAAGACTCTTCTGTTGGTTAAATTTTTGATAAAACTTAATAGGAGCTGTAAGTTCGTGCGCAAGGGCAACCCTAACTTTACTCTAGCGAATAAAGCTAGTGCAGCCAGCAGAAGCAAGTCGAAACACTGTCAAAAAACAACGAGATCAAGGAGAAGAACGAGAGCTCAGCCAATTAGCTATATAACCATTATGTCACGTTTAAGCTGACAAAATAAACGCATATATTTTTAATGCTTAGTGAAATTGTTTATTAATTCGAACTGGTTTGCATAAATCTGAAAGA